GAACTTATTTGCAAGAGCCGGTATACAGACTGCATCTTTGTGTAGATGCATCCCTACAAGGATGGGGAGTACACTTCAACGACAAAGTCGCCTCAGGGGTTTGGTCACCAAACGAAAATAAATTACACATAAATCATCTAGAACTCAAGGCAGTTCTAGAGGCGATTCAACATGGGGTGCATGTACTCAAGAATCAAGTTTACATGATACACACAGACAACTTAACAGTAGCGTTTTACATAAACCTACTGAAATCAACAATGTCAGCGCCACTAATAAGAGTAATTGACCGTTCATAATATATATAATAATACCTAGGGGGGTGATGATGATTTTTATGGAGAAGCTTGTACAATGTGAATGACCCCACCTAAAATTTATGTACAAAATAAGTGACCCCCCTGCATGTCATGTACAAAATCAGTGACCCCCTTCCCTACCCATAATTTCTAAGCATAATTTTAAACATATTTTATGTACAAAATTGATGACCCCCCCTAGTATGTGTGTACAAAATTGATGACCCCCAGCTCGCCAGAACAAAATGTCCCCCAAAAAAAAATAAATAAATAAATAAATAAAATAAAAATAAATAAATCATCACCCCCCTAGCCATAAATTATGAACGGTCCCTAACATTTCAACTATTCAATGTAGTAGACAACCTCAATCTGTAGATGAGAGCTTGTCACATTCCGGGAGCGAAAAACGTCTTAGCAGATGCCATAACCAGACCGGTGAGACCATCCCCTATTGAATGGAAGCTACATCCAGAAGCGTTTCTACTGATAACGAGAGAACAGGGTTGTCCTCTCATGGATCTTTTTGCAACACGGTTCAATCATCAGATTGTAATGTTTGCCTCACCAGTACCAGATCCGCTAGCATGGTTGACAGACGCCCTCGCCATATCATGGGAAGGTCTACATGCGTATGCATTTCCTCCACCGATACTGTTACCACAGGTTCTACACAAGATTGCTCAGACCAAAATCCAACAACTGATTTGGGTCACGCCTTACTGGCCAGCGAGAACATGGTTTCCAGACCTAATAAGTTAATTAGGGGAACCAATACTAAAACTTCCAGACAGGCCATATCTACTGATTCATCCTCATGCAAAACAACTGCAAGGCAATCTAACACATCTCAGACTACACATATGGAGCTTATCACGCACTGCTTGAAGAAAAGAGCTTATTCTATGAGAGCTGCTAAGGCAGTTACACTGGCCTTAAGACGTTCAACTCGTAATCTTTATGATGATAAATGGAGAAGTTTTGATCAATTTGCTACAAGCAGAGGATTCTCGGCAGCGGAAGCAACACATCCGCAAGTAGCAGAATATCTCTGCCATGTGAGATCAACTGAACATTTGGAAGGATCAACACTTTCAACATACTTAGCAGCAATCAGTTCAGTGATCACCATGAACCCGGGAGTTAAACTCACCAAGGTTCCTGAGCTAGTGGCATTATTGAGATCGTTTAAACTAGAGGATCAACAATGGAAATTTAGAGCTCCAGCATGGGACCTCAATATAGTTCTACAACATCTCACAAGTGATGATTATGAACCTTTATGAGACGCAACTTTTGAGCTACTCACTCAAAAAACAATATTTCTCCTTGCTTTAGGCACAGCAGCTAGAATGTCGGAAATATATGCTCTTGACTTCTCACGAACGAGATTCGACACAGGAGAGCATGCAGTAGTCCATTTAGGACTGAGATTGGATTTTATAGCAAAGAATCAACTTCCTGGTCAACCAGATCGTCAATTTCATGTACCAGCACTGTCGTCAGTCCTTGGACATCAAGACAGAGAGGATTTATCCTTATGTCCAGTAATAGCTTTAAGAATCTACTTACAAACGGACTACGACTAGAAGGAGAAAGTTTAAACGTCTCTTCATTCCATTATCACCTGCCACATCGATTGAGGTCTCACGAACCACAATATCCTTCTGGATTGGAGCAGTCATTTTGAGAGCCTATAAAACCTACAGCATGTTATCCACATGAAATAAGAGCATTAGCATCGACACTCGCATTACATGGAAATTGCTCGTTATCATCTATCATGGAAGGCTGTTTTTGGAGATCTGACACGGTGTTTGCTAATCACTATCTACGAGATATTGCTACAGAGGATGTATCAGGCATTCACCAGTTTGGACCACTAGTAGTGGCTCACAAATCCAACCAGACATTGAGAAGTCACCCAAATCACGCTGACATGTAGATGCTAGGCAACTGTCCCATTGCCACCAGCTGAGAGTCCATGCCAACCTGACTTACTTGAGAAGTCAGAACATGAGTGATATAAACCTTGTTAAGTAATAGCCCTTACTTAACTTATTGGTTTTGATGCCAGTTTCGGTTGTAGTCTTTACCTTAACATATGGATCGTTTTGAAATATCTAGAATACTAGATTATCTAAAACCACAAAATCTATAAGATTTACTTCTCTTAATCAATTAAGAGTAGGTAGTCCCCCTATAGGACAATTTGACAACAGAAGGCAGCAACAGGAGTTTACAGGGGTAAGCGTTCAGACTGTATATAGACAGCCACAGTGAATCCCGTTAGGTGGCTGACCCACCACCTATTCCGTCGGATTCTATAACCAGTAATCATGAGTCAGGATAAGGAAAAATATGTAATTTTTATGATAAAATTATTATTTTTATACTTATCCTGACTCATGAGGTAAGCTCTCCCGACTGTCCCCACTCTCAGCATTACGGTCTTCACTGTAAGTCGCAATGCAGGCATATTACGGAGAGAGTGATAAGAGCTAGTCTCAGGTCACGTGGGACCGGTTTTGGTTGGAACAAGGGAGGTAACTCAGGGTGAGTGATTGTAGTGGATTTGAATAGGATTCAAGATTTCTACTTGACCGTCGAAGCAGAAGGGAGATAAGCAATAATCATGAGTCAGGTTAAGTATAACAATAATGTTATCATAAAAATTACATATTTGATACATTGACTGGGAAACCAAATGTCATGTAAAGATGAAATTGTTCAGGTTAGTTTAAAATATGTCATGTGTTTGTTCTCGCCATGATAAAAGGACTTGGCATTGGCAACACTTTTGTTGAAAAAATGTTGTCTGGTATGTTGAATGGCCTTTCTTATCTCATTTGTCCATCTGTTTTACATGAGGGATAATGGGATAGCCCAGTGGTTAACATGTCATCTCATCATGTGTAAGACTTAGGTTCAGTTCCCCACTTGGGTACAATATTTGAAGCCTATTTGTGGTGTCACCCGGCTTTGTTGGAGTATTGCTGTTAGAAACCTAAAACCATACTCTCATTTTCAAGGAGGGCGGTGGGGTAGCCTAGTGGCTAAAACGTTGGCTCGTCACGCCGAAGACCCGGGTTCGATTCCCCACATGGGTACAATGTGTGAAGCCCATTTCTGGTGTCCCTCGCCGTAATGTTATTGGAATATTGCTAAAAGCAGCGTAAAACCAAACTCACTCACTCACTCATTTTCAAGGTCTGCGTTTAGCAATATTCCAGGAATATCACGGCAGGGGACACCAGAAATGTGCTACACATATTGTGGAGGATTGAACCCAGGACGAGCAAACACTTTATTCACTAGGCTCCCTACCCCACCAAGGAGAAGCAGCCAGAAACACAAGTGGATGTTCTTCCCAACACAAATGATATAGCTTGAATCTGAACCGAGGCCAACAGTGTTTGCTTTTGGATCATGGACCATTATGATCCATTGATAGTTTGATCAGTTACTCTACTTTCAGGTTAAGCATATATAATTATGGATCTCATGAAACATCATTGTCTTCCCACAGAGGTTACTCCTGTCATATCTTCCTACGTAACCTCTGTTCTAATACGGCCTTTCATGGTGTGAGCGTTCAAGACTCGTGATTGGAGGCAATCAGATTTAGTTGTGCAATCAGCGACGTTGTTTCAAAAGTGATCATTCGCAAGGCCTCAGTAATTTCCTTATGCTTTGAGAAAACTAAACTTCTTCCCCTGCGCGCATTGTCTTCCCACTGAGGTTACTCCTTTCATATCTTCCTACGTAACCTCTGTTCTAATACGGCCCTTTCATGGCGTGAGCGTTCAAGACTCGTGATTGGAGGCAATCAGATTTAGTTGTGCAATCAGCGACGTTGTTTCAAAAGTGATCATTCGCAAGGTCTCGGTAATTTCCTTATGCTTCGAGAAAACTAAACCTCTTCCCCTGGGCGACGCGCAAACGTTTCTTCTAGACAGAACTCAGTCATGTTATGGCGGATCAGTGGCGTCTCCATCGCCCTCGTTGACAACGGACAAGCTAGCCATTAAACGTCTTGTGTGTAAGATCAACACAATTCCCCGGCAGATGGGGGATATTTGTGGCCCCACATTGGCTTGTGTTGGTCAAATTGAATCTAAGTCGATGTAACGCGTGTTCTGATTGGATAGAAAGAAGGAAGATAATTCGTGTTGCCATCTTTTGCCGCTAGGGGATTTTACGAGAACCGGGAAATATGGCCGTATTAGAACAGAGGTTCGTAGGAAGATATGACAAGTAACCTCTGTGGGAAGAGAATGCCCCTGCGCGATGCGCAAACGTTTCTTCTAGATAGAACGCAGTCATGTTATGGCGGATCAGTGGCGTCTCCATCGCCCTCGTTGACAACGGACAAGCTAGCCATTAAATGTCTTGTGTGTAACATCAACACAAGTCCCCAGCAAATGGGGGATATTTGTGGCCCCACATTGGCTTGTGTTAGTCAAGTTGAATCTAAGTCGATGTAACACGTGTTCTGATTGGATAGAAAGAAGGGAGATAATTCGTGTTGCGATCTTTTGCCGCTAGGGGAATTTTACGAGAACCGGGAAATATGGCCGTATTAGAACAGAGGTAACCTCTGTGGGAAGAGAATGATGAAACATCTGTATGCAACTGTTTTTTGGTGAAAAAACATTGTTCATATTTTCTCTGTCTTATTCATCTTGCTTTTGTCAACAGGTTAAAGCTGTGGTAAACATAAGTGGGTCTCCCATATTTTCATTTGCTGATCTCAAGAAATCAGGAAAGTCTCATGTGAAAGCATTGGAGTAAGTAAAAATATCTTTTAGGTTTAGCCCTGCCAGATTGTGTTACTTGGTCTGTTATGTCCATGGGGCAAGGTGGGCGAGCTGTGCAAGCTGTGCAAGGTGCTGCTTGTAAAAACCTTGGAGCTAACATTACTTGCACTTGCAGGCTCTTTCAGTGTTGTCACAACCCCTGGTGTGCAGTACACAACCCTGTGCACTTAAATGAACACACTCGTCCGGCGGTAGGTGACCAGATGGTGGACACACGAACACGTGCAGACACCTAGTTGCGGGTATTGTCTTGGCAGTATCATAGGACAAAATACTGTGACTATGTGTCCCAGTTAACCCAGCTGCAAATGGGTACCTTGTGAGGATGAGGCTGTGTGATAACTCGCTGCGCCTAACAGGCCGCATGAGTTGAATACTCCCCAGGGAGTTGAGTTGGTAAAAAGAATGCCAGAAAAAAAGACATCGATTGATCAAGGGAACAGGCCAAAGCCTTGAGCATGTACGAGTTGTGTGGATAGGTACGCTATATAAATATCCTATAATAATAATTATGTATTTCTAAACAATGTTTCTCATGAAAGTGAGGGTAATATTGATCTTCAGTAGCACATTTGTCATGAGAGGCACCTCACCTCAGCAGGTGGTGATATGCTTCTGCTTTGGTTGATGCATATCCCAGTGGTGTAAATCAGTGCTCGTGATGTTGATCACAGGACTGTCTGGTCTGGAATTGATTGTTTTCAAATTTCTTTCGTATAGCTGGAAAATGGCACAGGGTTGTGCTAAACAGTAAACAAATTCTAAAACTGAGTGAGCAAGTGAGTTTAGTTTGATGCCGCTTTTAGCAATATTCCAGCAAAATCACGGCAGGGAACACCAGACATGGGCTTCACACATTATACATATGTGGGGAATCGAACACGGGTCTTCGGCGTCATGAGCGAAAGCTTTAACCACCAGGCTACCTAAATCTCCGGATTAGATTTGGTCCTTGGCAGTCTGTACTTTTTCTATGAGGTGATGGAAATGATTTTTAACCTCATCATTGACTTGACTGATTGCACGTCTTTGTACAGGAATGAACCAGTGCTCATAATATCAACCACCTGTTTGTGTGGTTCGGACAGTACTTACCCATGAAGATCCGAGTCAGAATTGATCTTCAGTAACGCATGCTTGTCATAAGAGGCAACTAACGGGATCGGGTGGTCAGGCTCGCTGCGTAGATTGATGCTCATGCTGATGATCACTGTATTGTCTGGTCCACACTCGATTATTTACAGACTGCTGCCGTATAGCTGGAATATTGCTGAGTGCGACATAAAACTAAACTCACTCACTCTGACAGTACTGCTGCATCTTCACCCTGCATCTGATGACTGTAAGCTAATGATCTATGAAACACACTGTTGCTGAAGGGGCAGTGGGGTAGCCTAGTGGTTAAAGCGTTCGCTCATCACGCTGAAGACCCGGGTTCGATTCCCCACAATGTGTGAAGCCCATTTCTGGTGTCCCCTGCCGTGATATTGCTGGAATATTGCTAAAAGTGGCGTAAAACTAAAATCACTTACTCATTCACCCTGTATCTAATAATCTCTGAATCTTAACCCTGCTTTGTACAGTATTTCAATTAAACGGGGCATGTAAGATTAATATGATGAAACCTTAAAAAGAGTCAGGTCTTGGATGTTAAACCCACATCCTCCAGCTCGTCGTAAAAGGCAACTAACAGGATCAGGTGGTCAGGCTCACTGACTCCATTAACTCATGTCATCGTATCCCAACTGTGTAGGTCAACGCTCGTGATGTTGATGACTGGATTGTCTGGTCCAGACTCGATTATTCACAGACTGATGCCATGTAGCTGGAATATTGCTCAGTAAGGCCTTAAACAACAAATAAACAAACAAAACGAATATAATTATGGGTCAACTTTGGATCAACATTTCTTGCTCATGCAATTTGCCATGGTTTGTCTGGCCGACAAGCTGTAATATTGCTGACTGTAAATAATCAAGTCTGAACCAGACAATCCAGTGATCAACGGCTTGAGCATCAATCTGCGTAATTAGGATACAATGACATGTGTCAACCTACTGATCCTGTTAGCCGCCTCTTAGACAAACATGGGTTGCTGAGACCAATTGTAACCCGGATCATCATGGGTCCTCACTGTATTTTTACTAATTTGTGTGTATTTAATGTTTTTCAGGATGGACTTCTCTAAATTGGATTATTCTGATGAGGGTATTACTACAAGAAATTCTTTCCAATATGACACGTCAACATTTATTCCAGTGAGTAAATTTATCAGTAAATTTATGCAGTGGAATAATAGCATTTTGTTTTTAAGGATGTGCAATGCTCCCTTGTCACATGTTGGTTTTTTTATTATCTGCCAAGATGTGGAAGATTTTGCCTTTTGTCAAACAAAGTCTGGCACATGAACAAACAGATGTTTCCTTCGTTAAAGCTACGGAGGAGTGAGTTTAGTTTTAAGCCACACTTCAGCAATTTTCCAGCTATATGGTGGCAGTCTGTAAATAATCGAGTCTGGACCAGAGAATCCAGTGATCAACAGTACTGAGCATCGATCTACAGGATTGGGATATGATAACATGTGTCAACCAAGTCTCGAGCCTGACCACCCAATCCCATTAGTCACCTCTTATAACAAACATGGGTTGCTGAAGACCAATTCTAAACTGGATCTTCACGGGTTCAAAGCTACATAATCATATATCATACAAGTGACTGACAAACAAGGCCCTGACTACCTTAACCACATGCAAACAATATCTTTTATTCAAAGACACACACTGTATGTTACTTCACAGAAATATATACCTTTTGTAGGTGTGGAAGAAGAATGCTGCAGTGTTATACTTGTGCGGTGAAGAAGATGGCACATGGAATACTCAGCATGCTAAAACGTTCAAGGACAGTTTCCCTGCAGAGAAGAGGGACAACATTGAATTAGTCATCTACCCTAGGACGGGGCACCTCATAGAGCCACCATATATGCCGCTATGTAGAACCTCCTATCACAGAGTTCTCGGTGAGGGTCTTCAGGACATTGTCAATAACCTACCGGTTTTAACGTTTCTAGATTACCTGTGGGTATATATTTTGTTGTGATGTGTAGACGTTAAGTTGACCAATGAAGCCAATGCCTGGTCCGAGTGGAGGGAATCCAGCTCTGACCAATGAGCACCAAACTTACATCACGCCAGTGGTTAAGGCATTTGCTCGTCTTCTCGATGACCTGGCTTGATTCCCCACATGGGTGCAATGTGAGAAGCCCATGCTTGGTGTCCCCCACCGTGATATTGCTAAAAGTGGCTTTAAACTCATTCACTCACTCACTCACTGTGAATAGCTGGAAAAGTGCTGATTCAGCATTAAACAATATTCACCCAGCTTTTGATGCTGATTGACTTAATGTCAGGTGGTGGCACAAGTGGCCTTGTCTGCTTAGGTGCCAGAATTTGCTGTGGTCCCTTCAGCATGCCAGAAACCTGTGATCATGAGTTTGAATTCCAGTTTGCCCTGATAATGTTTCCCAGATTGTCAGCATCATACCTGTGGTTGTGCATATCACCAGGTGGCGGCCGTCTATGTCCTGCATATCCTCTGGCATCAACATAATCAAACAGACAGGCCGTGATATAACGAGAACACTGTCAAATATGGCATTAAACCCTCTCACTTTAACGTTGTCTAATGTGGAGCTTGCACAAAGTTCATGCTCAAAGGCTCAGTGGATTTTGGGATTCATAATGGCACATTTGGTCAGATTATTAATAACACGCTTCATTGCAGCCCTGCAATCTGCACGATGTATTCGCATTGGAACATAGACAATTACTGCTTGATTTACATTTTCTTCTGGTCAAAGCATTTAAATTGTCATGAAATGTCCCCTTCTTATGTCTGCAGTTGTCTGAAAGTGATGCATATTGAGAGATTGAGCCAGCTGACTCATCAATATATATTTCTATTTTTACAAAAATACGTGAATTTGTGATAAATACTTTATGAAACATTTGACTCTGATCCAACATTTTACTGACTCTCAGTATTTCCTCGACAGACATGGTTCTTGTGTGGGGAGGACAACCTGAAGCTCATGCTGCAGCCCAGGAGGATGCCTGGAAAAGAATCCTCCACTTTCTCCACAAGCACCTGCCACAGGAGCATCACACATCTAGTCGATTATAGCTGATAGCTGTTTTGCTCTTCTGAAACATGGGGAAGAAATGTTACAACTGTTTTCCAGTTTATTTTATTAGGGTACATTTGCAACCAGTCATTCAGAAAGTAAGCACATGATTTGCATACACACTGGCTTCTTTGGAGTTACACTTTCAAAAAGTCATATGTTGTTTTTCCTGCTTACAAGAGGATTGGTTGGACTTCAGAAGAACTCAGGGTCAAAAGCCGGTTATATACGGCTTGTATCTAGGACTCTTAGGTCCATGTCTGTGTCACAAGCCCATGATGGTACAGAGCTTTAGAAACAGAGATTTTATACTTTATCCAATGTGTATTTTATTGTTGTGTTTGATTTAATGGGTCTTTTTAATTGCAGTTATTGGACATGAGGGTTGTGTAGAGGATGACTCTGTATATTTTCTACCAACTGATGATTCAGCCATAATGATTCTTTTTAATTCCATAGAAAATGAAAAGATATGATTGTCAATATGAAAGGAAAATGGCTGATGGAATTGTGCAGTAAGTTTAACATCCACATGCCAATTGGCAGATTAACAAACAATCAACAGTCTTACACAAATAAGAGTGTTTTAAGTTATTTTAAGTCTCCAAGACAAGAGGGATGTATGGGATGCGAATTCCTGGGTCCTATACTCATGAAAATTGACAATGGACGCAACAAAATTGATTTGACCATCCACATGGAAGCAGAAAAAGTCCAAATACTTTTTGTAAAAATTTCCATCAAGTAACCGTAAGTTATCACTGAGTTTGTTACTAGCTGGGTTATAGTATATAGTGTTATAGGATCATTTGATATTCTGGGTTGGTGAGCATAAATAACTTGTACTGAGGTTTTAGCTCCCAACAGTAAATTGGTCACAGGCCATGTAGAATATCCTGAAAAGATATGGAAAAATTAAATTGGTCGACTCTTCCTTTCATGGAAAGAATATGTGTTTTGAATCAGTGACCCAAAAAACTATATTGTCTCTAACAACATGTCATAGTCCCCATCTTTGAAGAAATAAACATGTCGGATCAGTGTAAATGTCAGTAAGCAATTTGGTCACGATGGCTTCAGGGTTTGTGCAGTGCTTGGATGATAACAACTTGATACTTCCATCTCTGAGGGGCGGTGGGGTAGCCTAATGGTTAAAGCGTTGCCTCGTCATGCCGAAGACCCGGGTTCGAATCTCCACATGGGTACAATGTGTGAAGCCCATTTCTGGTGTCCCCTGCCGTGATGTTGCTGGAATATTGCTAAAAGCGGCGTAAAACCAAACTCAGTCAGTCAGTCAGTCAGTCCATCTCTGAGCTGGAGTTTTTATCTTATCCTGACCATCAGTTATGGTTTATGATTATCTAGCAGCTGTTCTAAGAATTAGCTGTTATCCTGTGGTAAATATTCTTTCAGGAGGGGCAGAACCTTTTTCATATTGTAATGATTGGCCTGCCCCCAAGCCTGCCTTCTTGTCCATTTCACCGTGTGTTCTACTTGTGCGAAATTGCTCAACAATAATTCAGCAGTCTTCAGACATGAACATTGTCTCAGCACATGTGCCACTGAAATTTCGTCTTTGATTGAGGATATCTCTGGATCACGTACAAAGTGTTTCAAGTCGCCTCAATGTTCATCAGACATATCATGATCATACTCAGGTGCATTCAATATCTACAGGACGCCACATTCAATGATACATTCAGGTGTCACGTGCCAGTAATGCTCAGTGATCAGTCTACTGCAACTGCAGCTTCACCTCCATTTTTGTCTGCAGAATTGTCAGTTATGTAACTACCATGTATTAAACTGAATATTACTTAAAATATCAAAGCTGATGTGATCCAGTAGTTTTGTTGATATTGAATTATATTACACAGTAAAGCAGTAAAAGGAATTAATGATTTGGTCTTTTGTGATACTTTGAGATAGATAATGAGCATATGACGTGTGATTGAACTTACAAATTAGCTATACACTGGCCTTGAATCCCTACAGTAGGACCAGATAAAATACTGGCTCAGGGAGCAACCCAATACTGGCCCCGAATCTCCACAGTGGGAAAAACCCAATACTGGCCCTGAATCTCCACAGTGGGAGCAGCCTAATACTGGACCTGAATCCCCACAGTGGGAGCTGTCCAAAGCTGGCCCTGAATCTCCACAGTGGGAGCAGCCCAATACTGGACCTGAATCCCCACAGTGGGAGCCGTCCAAAGCTGGCCCCTGAATATCCACAGTGGGAGGAGTCCAAAGCTGGCCCTGAATCTCTTCTGTGAGAACAGGCCAATACACGGCCGGAATCTCGACTGTATGAGCAGCCCAATGCTTGCCCTGAGTCTCTACAGTAAACGTAGCCCCCATAGACTCTGTTTGATCAATGAAAATGCTGAAAAGAGACTGGTACTTTCCTCTACCACCCCTCCCCCGACCTCTAAGATAAGGACCAATAAAACATCAAATAAGCAACAAAACGAAAACAATCTTCACGCATGGTTTAATATGACATATTTCGTTGTATGTATCCTTTAATATGTTCAAGACAATCACACCACATCTTTCTTGATATTCTTGTGATACTAAAGACACGTGTATTCACCCAATTGTCTTTGAATTATATTTCTTTGAAAGTCATACACAAAAAGAACTACAGCATGTCTTGATATTACCGTGAACTTCTCCCTAAAATATGAACTCGGAAACATTTCTGTTTTGGTTGTTTAGTCACCACTCTCCAAGCCTTAGCAAAGTGTTCCAGCAAGTGAACCGTGTATGAGCACGAGTGATTCTTCGCTAGCAAGTCGTTTTGTCTTGCTGGAAGGTATTGTGCAAGGTCACTCTGGATGACACTAGAAACGGTCTTCGGAATCGTACTCATGATGGGAATCAAACAGGTTTTGGAAGCAGTAAGCGGCTTTTCTGATTGGCCATTTAACACTTCGTATTGGGATCATTTCAAGGGTTGTTGTTCAGCCACGTAAGGAATGTTTGTCATGGATATAGTGAAAGACTCCTGCAGCTGCCCTTCCTCTTGTCTCGCATACACACGAAGGTAAAATTTATTGTACACCTGTATCATATTCCGGGGTGCTATTTCTGAACTGAACTGACCTAAATAATATTAGGGAATGCGTTCAAAATGATCGGACTAACGTACCAAGTATCATTTCAAATAAACATGGAAAAAGAATATCCAAGTTATTTTTTCGGTCCTCTCCGGAAGACTTTGGCACTGTTCGCTTGGAAGCAAAACGCGCCCAATCTACAGGGCCCGTAAGTCTCGCGATACTCTACTTCCGGTACCAGACTTCCGGCGACAAGCGTATATTCAAGAACCTGTTCTGGTTCCAAATTGCGCAACCGCTAAATATGACTTTACTAGACCGGACCAAGTGTACAACCATGCATGACTGTCACAGCTGTTGACAGTCGTAATAGTTGGTTAATGTGGGGATGATTGGATCGGAAATTTGTTATTCCTGCAAGGATTATCGGTTCCTTACTGTCAACTGACAACCATGAGACCATTCGAAAAGGTATGTAACGTTGTTTGTCACGGGAAGTACTAAACAACGCAAGATCTCGCAAAGTGCCTTGACCTACTTACGGGTCCTATTGTTTTGAGCATCCGTTCGTTAAGAATACATATAAGGGAAGTCACGGTCAAAACATTTGTTTGTAATGTTTGAAACACTCCCTGCCGGTACGTTCACAACTTGAATAGTGTCATTTCTTCTCTTATACGTTTGAGAACGTGCACCTGTTGCAGGGTCGAGGTTGAACTGAAGATCACAAGGCTAGCTACGACTACAGGTCTGGAAGGTCCGCTACAAGGACCTTGCTACTTGGGTATCCGCGGGGTGCAGCCCAGCCAGGCTTGGGACATTGCCCTAGGGTAACCAGCCTCCACTCGCCCGTAGTAGCTGTCGAACTTCCAGTATCTGTAACAGAGAATGGGGAGTCCTCGATTACTCATTCACTGAGTGAGTGAGTTTAGTTTTACGCCGCACTCAGCAGTATACCAGCTATATGTAAATAATCGAGTCTGGACCCGACTGACGATATCAATTTCAACCCGGATCGTCACGGGTAAACTCATTCAGTACACTGAGAGTGTTCTGTGTCAAGTTAATTGTTCAGCTGCCTGGATTCTTTATGTTCGTCATCACGTGGGTTTTCAGTTGAGGCCGTAGTCACTGTACCCTATCGAAAATTAGGGAGTATGTGTGTGTGTAAGGGGGGGGAGGGAGTTGCTCACAATTTTCACGAGCACACACACACACCCTCTGGATCCGCCTATATCGCTATCTGTTCGAGTAACCCGTTTTTGCTACCCCATTTGGTGCCACAGTGACCATTTGTATTCACCCCGTGGTTAGCCTGTGGGGATTCCTTTCGGATGTCCTTGGCAGCATAGATTCCAGTGGCCATGGGAGGTTCATGGGGTACTTTAAACCCACCATCCCAATTTTGTCGTCCCATAGATTTAGCAACATTAGAAGCAAAAACTAGGACTGGGAGACAGACTAACCAATGAGTCTTCACACGTAAGTTTGAAATGGGTTATATGACCAACTTACACGTTGCCCTTGAAAAAGTAGGTCTCCCCGTCTGTGTACTGGAAGGCTGCCTCAATGTCCGGCCGGAGCCCCCTCCAGAACTGTGTGGTAGCACGGGGATAGCCGGAGGACGATCTTCTCAGTGTCTCTGTCCACGCCGTGTAAGTTGAACTCTGCAATATTCAATTAAGAATTAACGTCAATATTGTTTGTGTTTATGTAGGTATGATTCCACGAAGCGGAAGCACTAGTCTCACACCCGCAATCCATTGTATAGTGAAGCATACTGATCAGAAACTTTTAAGCGCCACTGAGCAGCAAAAGTTGGAAGGAAGGCGCTATACAAATCAATGATAAAAATAATTATTATCATGAATCTCCATTCTATATTGACGAATTAATATCGCTGACCCATTTGTTAACGTAGTTTCGTTTTGAGACAGATTCGTGTGTCCAGTTACACTTATATACATGATAATTTATTGGCACGTTAGTAATGTACAGAATAGCCATGCTGATGCCGCTTACGAAACGAAGATGTGATTGGGAAATATCCAATGAACAATTCATAGTCTTTATTACCATTAACATTTATGACTATTATAATTGTTATTAATGTGGTTAATTACTGCTAATATACAGCTGAGGGAAAATAATATCAGTACTATTACAAAAGTCCAAGTGTTAGTATCTAAGGAGAAATACTGACTTACCTTAAATAAGTAGATCCTGCCGTCTCGCCACTGGAGGGCAGCCTTGGCGTTTCTGAAAGCGGACGGTAACCTCCTGGGGTAGCCCTGATCCTTGCGATAAGCGGTGAACCTCCAGTATCTGCCTCCTGGAAAGAAGAGTAAGAGGCTGCTGAAAAGTCATTGATTAAGAATATTTATAACGCGCCCTTCGAGGCTTCATATCCTGCTCAAAGCGCACAAAGGATGCTCAATACGCACAATCTGATTATTATTACCCCAGATAACCCAAACTGCCGGTGCTAGACGGTTAATAGTGACATGACTTATCCCGCCGGGTACCCATTTTCTGCTGGGTGAACAGAGTCAATTTTGAACAAACCCGCTTGCCTAAAGTGAGACCACATGTACTTCGTTGTGGGGCTGGACTGAAGTCCTAGAAACTCTCAGGTGTCAAGCTGCCAAACACGGTCACCCATCCAAGGACTCTCCGCGCCCAACGTTGCTTAACTTTAACTGATTTGTGACCCGACCTCTATGCACAGGACCACACACATCTAAATCTGTTACGATACCATGGTCTAGTGGATGTAGAGTCTCCTCAGAGATTTGTGGTTGAATGCCCTAGTGTAATGTGTGGGGAAGACATGTGATGCGTAATTCACTGCATGGATGTCAGTCGGATGGTACTGTAAAACCGACGTACGTCCGGAATAGTGTTCCCTAACTCAACAAACAGGCAGGCAGGATAGGCGCGCGCGCGCACGCACGCACACATCGCCGTAGAAGGACAATAATCCTTCTCTTCTGTCACCAACTGGTTCACTTAAATTACCAATAAAGATACAATTTACAGACGGGGGACGGAGGGGTAGCCCAGTGGTTAAAGCGTTCACTCGTCACGCCGAAGGCCCTAGTTCGATTCCCCACACGGGTACAATGTGTGAACCCCATTTCTAGTGTTCACCTCACACCGCCATCCCGCAGTGTTACTGCTGAAATATTGTTAAGGCGGCGACAACACGACACACTCATACACTCAGACAGATCAAGGACCATAATCAAGCCTGTCTTGGAATCGAACCACCTGGATTGTGTATCTTGGCAATGACAGGACCCAACTCGTGCCCCTGATGAAGCTGAAGGCCTGCAGACTTGGTTGACACATGTCATCCTATCCCAATTGCGCAGATCGACGCTCATGCTGTTGATCACTGGATTGTCTGGTCCAGACTCGATTATTTGCAGATCGCCCCCATATAGCTAGAATATTGCTGAGTGCAGCGTTAAACAACAAACCAATAACCAACAAGCTGAAGATAGATACAGTACCTTTAAAGAAGAACGTCTTCCTGTTCCTTCTATCGTACACCACGGCTCCAGGTGAGGACGGAGCCCCCCGGAACACCCTCTTGCTTGGCCTGGGGAACCCTCTGCTAACGCCCCGGTTGACCAGCCGGTAGATCTTGCTGCCACGGAAGGCATAGGTTTTCCTGTCGTGAGCTGTGGAAGAGATTTACTCGCATGAAGGAGGACCTTCTCCGGTTAGTTGCCAGTCCGATACACGCCTGATCCAGGTCATGAAAATACTCTGTTTGTTCATGATGAATATCTCTATCATGGAGACATGTTTAAGGGTAGCCTTGCTCCATTATATTTTCCACACGTAATTAAAATACGGAAAGTTCTCAGTCTGTTTAGCTCACATGCCAAGCAAGTTAAATCAAGTTGTAGTTAGGATAGGTGTACCCTTGTTTTAGATGGCTCAATGTTGAAATTAATAGAGTGTGACCTTTTAATGCAAGAACAATGGGTTTTTTTGCTCACAAACAAGCGGAAAACTCACAAGTCCAACACATGTATTAAGATTATGAAACAACATTCGTCGTCTGCTTCAACCGTATTATCTCCCTTTGTAATGCTTCCGGTCTTACGATGCGCCGTATTTGCTCTAGAATCTACGATAGAATTTTCCGTTTTGAATCACAAAATTAAGTATGTGTTGGTTTTTGGTTGTCCGATATTTTTTGTGGATGTTTGATAGACGCATAAAGTTTATGAATCAGTTTGATTTGTTTCTGAAAGCCAACGATTCAATTCAGTTGAAGCCAATGATCCAGGAAGGTGTAGCATTTGTATATATTCGTATATAATTCAATATAAGGTTCAACGTTCAACAATTTCGATTAAGCATTAAACAGGCAACAATTTACACTTAGTTTATACTTAATTTACACTCATATCTTTAGCCCAGGTTAAGGGGAGACTGGGATCAAGCAGATAAGATGAAAACAGTTGTTTTGTTATATGAGTAAACTTCAGTTAATTGGTGTGTGACGTTATGACATTCGCGAAGTTCTTGGCTAATAAATCATGATCAGGTCACAAATGTTTTGAGGCATGTCAACATGACACATCTCACACGTCACGCTTCCAAGGCCCACGTTCACAATGTGATCACAGCACAGTTCGCACATACAATTTGGCCTACAACTGTCGTAAAGCCGATGTCGCTTCGTGCAAGTGGGCCCAGATCAAGCCCACCTGAAGTATGGCAGTATGGTTACTCACCTACGATGATGTCATCAAACTTGACGTCACAGTGTCTTCCTCTGGGTGCTGGGGTTGCACGTGGTCTGGGACGTGGTCGGCGTGTCACTGGTGGTCGTGTCGGGCGGGGTCTTCTCCCACCTGAACGTCCGCCACTTGAACCTGCGTGAGCAAAATTGGGATAAACATCAGTCAGCAGTGTTACTAACCTTTAGCACGATAATCGCCAAGTGCACGATAATCGTTAGCCACACGATAATCGCCAAATGCACTTTAATCACCAAGTGCACGATTATGGCCAAGTATAACCAAATGACTATCGCCTAATGTACGATAATCGTTAGCCACACGATAATCGCCAAGCGCACGATTATCACACAGTAATCACTTAGGACCGGTTTTACGTCAGTGAAAACAGTGAATCATCGTGAAATACATGGAGCGTCAGACAAAACAGTCTGTCAAGAGCACATCTCATAAGGGCTGCGCAAGTTGAATTTAAGCCTTTTTCATCCATTGGATTCAATGTTTCGAGAAACTTTTTTCCAAATTTTTCATGTGATATTTTAATGGTTTTGAGTTTACACAGGTACACATAAAAATATATCAAAATCTGAGAACAATCATTATAGATTATCTGCCGAAAGAGATTCTATTGAGCGTAAAAGGCAAAAACATGAAAATAATACGAATGGATTAATAATTATAGTGAATATTATTCGTCATGGCTACATTTATGGGTCATATGCGAAAAAACATTTTTGGTGATCGGATATGAAGCGATTTCAGATTCCGTGTCAGCATGTTATTATCAGACTTAAGGTTCGATGGATCCGTGAACTGAGAAATAAGATGCGAACAACTTAGTTTCGGTAAATTCGGGTTTCGGATTTTCGGAAGACTTGTTATATTTGTCATCAAACACTATAAAAAACGATATTTCCAAGATGTTTTATAGCGTATCTTGACCTACACGATACCAAAAGCGGCTGAATCGTGGGCCTAAAGAACTCCACACTAAAAAAAATACAAATAGGAAATACAATATGCTATTATTAAGTCTCGTGTTTTCTTTTCAAGATTCTGTTTGCTAATAATTGTTGGTCTGCAGCACTTTTAAGATAAGTGATTTGGGCTGAACATCTGTTTAACATTATTCTATTCATCTAAACGCTTCTCAGCTGTTTGTGGCAGAAAAGGATAAAATGACTCTACCAATAATCAAAAGACAACCCAATAATCAAAAGAAGGAAACGATCACGGCTCATGGCAAGTCAAGGGACGCAACTCTTCTCAACCTAGAGGGGCTCTCCTTACTGGAGAAACGCTTCAACAAGAAGCCGATAGGACACAATCTACAACAATCTAGGGCTGGGACGGGTACTCGGGTACTCGAATCCGGGTCGGGTACAAATGGAATCGAGTCCTATTTATTGGAATCGAGTACCCGGAAAGGGAGATAAATCTGTAATGACAAGGGCAGATAATAACTTGTCTTTTTCATAATTGACGCAACACTCATTTACATCATTGGTATTGTCCGATTAATGAAGGTTATTATTAATGACTGTAATTTACCTGCGCATGAGTAGTGAAAGTTACAGTAACAGCGGGAACGAAAGGTTCTGTGTTTTAACGATGAATGTAAGTAATGGTGTTACTCTCTATATTGGTTAAGCAGATGTAAATTAAATCCTAAGATCTGTTTTAATGTCTTATTGCCATCCTTTCGAGTTTTCTATAATAATCTCTGTCAACTCGTGATTGAATATTCAGACAGTTGACAGAAGCGCTGTATTCCTTACATTTCCGGGTACTCGATTCCGATTCGGTTAAGTACATGCGGGTACTCGATTCCATTATTTCCTACCCGTCCCAGCCCTACAACAATCCGTTGGAATTCATTACATCCAAAGGCACAAGTGACCAGGTCTTCTGAGGTACCAGAATCCGTATCTGATTGTGGGTTCCACGGACCCGAGAAGATCGGTCTTCAGTAACCCATGCTTGTCTTAAGAGGCGACTAACGGGATCGGATGGTCAGGCTCACTGACTTATGTTGACACATGTCATCGTGTCCCAATTGTGTAGATCGATGCTCATGCTGTTGATCACTGAATTGTCTGGTCCAGACTCGGTTATTTACATACCGCCGCCATATAGCTGGAATATTGCTGAGTGCGGCGTAAAACAACAAACAATACCAAAACACTCAATCCATGAGTTGCCCTTGTATGGAATCCTAGAAGGGACTTTGTCACGTTGTCGCATTGTCGCGTTGTCGACAACGCGACATTTCAGCCATTTGTCGACATTTTGTCGACAAATGGCTGAAATGTCGCGCTGTCGTCAACGCGACAATGGGACAACGCGACAATGTGCCAATTTGCCAATTTCAGCCATTTGTCGACATTTTGTCGACAAATGGCTGAAATGTCGCGCTGTCGACAACGCGACAATGCGACAACGCGACAATGTCCCTTCTAGGATTCCATAGCCTTGTTATACCTGTAAGCTTCCCGGCAGCCAACGCCTGCATCATTTTGGCTGATAGCCTAGACATAACTGTAAAACGGTTATTGGAAACTGGGGCCATCGGTACCCACCATACAGTGTCTGTATTCCTCGCTTGTCGTCCGTGTGGAGCTGGTAGTTGGGGTCGTACCCCTGATAATAGGGGGCCATCAAAGCTGTGGGGATGTTGGAGTGACCCAGACCGAGGGCGTGGCCGAACTCGTGGGCGGCGACAATTTCCAGGTTCGAGCCCGTGTCTCCTCTCATCGTCCACTGCTCGTCCTCATCGAAGTGAGTGTCTCCGCTGATTGGTTGAGTTCCGGGGAAGAACGCATGCGCAAGCGTGCCACCTGTGGAGATAAGACATGATTTGAATTTCAGTCAGTGAGTAATGTTTTACGCCGCTTTTAGCAATATTCCAGTAATATCACGGCGGAGGACCCTAGAAATTGGCTTCACACAGTGTACCCAAGTGGGGAATCGAACCCGGGTCTTCAGCGTGACGAGCGGACGCTTTAACCACAAGGCTACCCCACCGTCCATGAATTTCAGTTTGGCAAGTGTACAAACAGGTTCCGTTTACTCAGAAGGGCTCGTTAAAGTCGCGGACATGATCATATCCGACGGGCTTTAGGTTGAGAAGATTACTTCAAACTAATTGTATGTTGAATAATAATAATACTGATAATAATATATTTACAATTAATTATGTCTATATTTGGGTAAAAGTGTTTTCGTGGGGTTATACATTTAGTCTTGTGTCACTAACCTCTTCCATCGAATGTATTTCCAGGACCGTCCCCGTGCTGACCTCTGACGAAGCTGATCTCGATGTCGGCAGTGCCACTCGTCACCTCCCTGAATGTAAGGGGAGTCACGTCGGACCACTTGGAGAACGCCTGTCTCAGTGATCGTCTGTAGAGTAACAGAAAAATATTTATTCGTCCATTAAATGTCGTATCCTCATGCAAAGTCCTGTCTTTGAAAATTCTGGTATCTGTTCGAAATAGATAGTAGACTGACACCTAGTCTCTGAAGAGGAAAATATTTTATGGAAATAATAATAAAATAAATACACAAGGGTTCAAATTGTGCCACTCACGACATGCACACCTTCATGTTTGTTCCAGGGTGTGTATAACAGACTGAAGACGGGGTGGAAGCTGATTAGGTGAGAATACAGCTTAATATGATACAATATGTACAATAAAATACACTCAACGACATTGAATAACAATGTGTTACTACCTCAAGAGAAATGGCCGGTGCCATAAGAACATTTACAAAACCTAAGCTTGTGAAATGGTATAGACAGTTCTGAAATGGGTAAGTGCGTGATTATTGCTTTACATCGGTCCTAGCAATATTGCAGTAATGTCACAAAGGTAGATAACAGATATTGTCTTAACGCATTGGGAGTAACTGAGTGATTATGGTTACTCGTACTTCGAGTTTACCAATATGGGTTCCGCAAATAGGGCCCATTGGGGGAATGGAACCCGGTCTTCGGCGGGACAAGCCGATATTTGGCTTGAAGATTAGGCTACCGAACCCTCAGACCTAAACAGAACGTCTGAAGTAACGTCTCACGTTGCGCGTTAACAACGTGATAGACCTCATTCAAGTTACTTCTCATTGTAAAGTTGAACATTTCTTTTCGAAACAGCAGAACTGCCGCATGAACATTTTATCAATTCCAGGAAGATTCTGGACGTGACAGCTATGCTAAGCATTAAGTGAAATCTACCTATTCATTGAAAAAAAACCCAAATATATTCGACTTGATATCTGATGTGGAAAACGTCGCTATCTCCGAAAGGAGGATTTTTCATTATTGTTTTCGTTTTGATTGTCGTCACGTGCATTGTTGTATTACCACCTCTGTGTTGATGGTGAATGCATTCAATAGATGTAGGATTATTTTTATTACGTTCCAAAATGACCTGGGTCGTTTAAAGCGTTTGCTTGTCACGCTGAAGACCCGGGTTCGATTCCCCACTTGGGTGCAATGTGTGAAGCCCATTTCTGCTGTCCCTCGCCGTGATATTGCTGGAATATTGCTAAAAGAGGCGTAAAACCTCTAAAGCGGCGTAAACCCGCATTTAATCACATACTGCTTGATGATATCAGTTCACTTGACGGTAATATGTAAGGCCTTTCTGCCTCTCTATCATCTGAACTTTGCAACTGACGGAAAATGATTAGAGACTATTGCCTCCAATCGGAACCTTCCCACTGACAGGTGTATCTTACTGTCCTGCGCCTCTGGTCTAAACCTCTTGTGTCATTGTTACTTTCGTACACCTACCTCTGATCGGAACCTCCCAGCTGACGGGTATATCCAACGATCTTGTAATCGATATCGTTCTTTGTCCATTTATAACCTGCAACACCGAGTGTATTAATTATTGCCGTGTCTGCAAGTTCCAAATCCATTCAGCTTCCGATATTTTTTTCCGAATTGGGTCCATACTCTATTTAATTGCATTATTTGGCCAAAAAATGTTACTGTGCATTTTTCATCATTGAAGTTGTATTGAAATTGCTATTGTTACTATTAGTATTATTTACAGATACAAAATAGTATGCAGCAGAGAGGGTTCGGGTGATCCTTACACAGTCAGGCTGATAAGGCTCATCATCACCTCATGGCCCTTGCCTCTTCTACACGCAGCCCAGACAATGAATGGAACTTCTCCCAGGAAGCGCTGCCAAGTCGAACCCACTAAGAACATACCGGAGAATATGTAGACTCCCCAACACTGCAGCCGTGGGCCTTACCCATAGTGTCAGAAGGGGTTTCCCGGTGGAGAACCCGGGCACTCTCCTGATCTGCGCCAAGAGATCAGAAGGTACCAAACCAAGGGCAGCGAGAACAATGTGGAGTCGGACGACTCTGTTCGTGGATTTATCGTTGTAATGATTATTTTCATCACAACAAGTAAGATTATCCTACCTGGGGCATAGAAGGCCAGAGGTGTCTCGGGGTCACTCCTGAGCTGTGCTGCTCTCTCAGACGGTCTGACCAGATCTGGCAATCCGCATCTTGGGGACTGCATCTTCTGGACAGTGTTCGGATCTAAGCGTCCAGTCACTCGCAGACCATTGAACCGCTGGAACTCCCTGGAAATATACAGAAGCTTTTACAATGTCCATCTACTGACTGATAACTCTCTTGAACTTGAGGTAAAGTTTTGGATAATTGGTTCGGATTTGCAGTCAGATCGACGACTTGCATTAAGTGATTCGAATGAGGAAATATATACTCATGGAAACGAATAAGGGAACACATGAAAGTACAAGTGTTCCTTTATTCTTTTCCAGGTTTCTTCACAAGGTATGTATTACACTGTGGGTGAAATTCTGGAAATAAATAAAGGAACACTTGTACTTTCATGTGTTCACTTATTCGTTTCTATGAGTATGTATATTAGAATTCCGTTACTTTGTTCATGAAATCACACAATCATGTCTGTTCAATGAGCATACGATCATTTGGCACACAATCCCTACACAATCCTTACACAACCCCGTCTGTCATAAAATCACCCTTTAGCTAGATTACGTGGGGTGGGTCCCTAACACCATCACCTTCCATCACGTTCCTAATGAGGTTGGTCCTGCGAACAACTTACCTGATGGCGATTGAAGTAGTCTGTGGGTCATGTTGACCTCGTCCTGCCAGGTTGTCAAGGTAACCAAACCTCTCCATGAACGTCTGGAACATGCAACACGATGTACGTTAGAGATTCCAAGATGGTGAACGCTTAAGAACCGATATCGATACGTTTTTATTTTACAAGTTAGAAAAGTAAGTTGCGTCCTTAGAATACAACCATTACGTAGAAGAATTAGAAAAATATAACAGAACATTTGGCTTTAAAACATCAAGTAGGAATTATATGCTGGAAAATATATATAGGTGTAATTGTGAATAACCACCTCCCCGAAATCACAGTGAACATTACGAAATAGTTCCAGAAACCGGTTTACCAAAATATCTAGAACCGCACATCCATTGACTTGAGTTTCTTTAAGAATTACATTTGTTTTACCCTGTCTCGTTAGGTTACACAAATACGGCTAACATTTATGGATAAAGGGCTAAACGTTTACCATATGCATTGGAAAGAATGAGTGAGTTTGGTATAACGCCGTTTTCAGCAGAATCTTCGTTCTATCCTTTTCAGATTGAACGCAACCCGTGAAGGACCGGGGTAGAATATTGGTCTTCAGTAACCCATGATTGTCACAAGAGGCGACTAACGGGATCGGGTGGTCAGGCTCGCTAACTTGGTTGACACATGTCATCGGTTCCCAATTGCGCAGATCGATGCTCATGCTGTTGATCCCTGGATTGTCTGGTCCAGACTCGATTATTTACAGACCGCCGCCATATAGCTGGAATACTGCTGAGTATGGAGTAAAACTAACTCACTCACTCACTCACTCAGATTGAACGCACGCACGCACACAAACACACGCACACACATAAGCACACATGCGTCAGTAAAATCTTGATGACAACAGCACAAACTAATGCTCCTTATTCTCAAATTGTTTTTGTAGTTTTGGTAACAGGTTATTAAAATTTTTTTATACATAATATTCAAAATGAACACCTGGTGTTAAGGAGCACTAGGCGAAACCACCTAAACAGAACCTTGTGACACAGGTCGCGTCCCTTAACCAGTCTTATCTGCACTGACCGAAAACCAGCCACTTTCATGTACACAATGTAAATATTCCGTATATCACCTATTGCTTGTGTCAAGCCGCTTTATTCAGCAAAGCATTACTAGATCGGTCTGGTGTCACTTTATACTGTAACTATGCACCAGATAACTGTACTTTTTATGTCGGATTTCTAGTTGAAGCATTTTTGAAGACCTTTTACTATAGTAACTGTAGTTTTGCACCCGGTGTCTTTTCGATAACTTAATACCCGATGCTTTTATACTCAATCTCTGTAACTTTATATCCGATCCTCGTTGTGTCATTGCCGATCACTGTAGCTTCACAGCTGTAGTTTGATACCCAAATCACTACAGCTGTATCACTGTAGCATAAATCCGATCACTGTAGCTTTATTCCTGTATTGTGATACAAGACCCATGTAACTTGATACGAAGCATCTATAGCTTTATCCCTGTAGCATATTGCCCGGTAACGGTAATATTATATCTGTGGTATATTACCCGGTAACTGTGGCTTTATCTGTAGCATATTACAAGGTCATTGTAGCGTTATGTCTGGAGTATATTACCCGGTCACTGTAGCTTTATACCTGTAGTATATTACCCGGTAACTGTAGCTTTATCTGTAGCATATTACAAGGTCATTGTAGCGTTATGTCTGGAGTATATAACCCGGTCATTGTAGCTTTATGCCTGTAGTATGTTACCCTGTCACTGTAGCCTCATTTGTAGCATATTACTCGGTCACTGTAGCTATGCCTGTCGTATATTACCCGGTCACTGTAGCTTTATCTGTAGTATATTATCCGGTCACTGTAGCGTTATGCCTGTAGTATATTACCCAGTCACTGTAGCTTTATCTGTAGCATTTTAGACTGCCACTGTAGCTTTATGCCTGTAGCATATTACCCGTTGATTGTAGCGTTATGCCTGTAATATAATGCTTAGTATAGTCTCTGCAGGTTAATACCCTATCACTAAAGCGCACACCCGGTCTCTGTGAAGCTGAATGTGGTCAAGGACTATATGTGACATTTCGGGTATATTGAAAATATACATTCCAACATGTTGTGCTGGAAGTGAGCTTCTGCACCCTCGAGTCTCTAGTTTCTATTTCTATGAAACTGGTTAGTGACATTTCTAAGATACTCACGACTGAATCGAAGTCTCTGTTTGCGTCATCTCTGCTGTAGTCGGTCGGGAGCGCCGAGATCACCCCTATGAAGAGACAAAGGGTGAAGAGAGACATTGCTCTTCCACCTGTATCCAGTACAGCGCCAAAAGCGATGAAAAAAAAGAAACTGGCTTCTCTTGTATCCTTCTGTACAAAAACAATCCAAACGGAAGTGAGGAGGTTTTGAAAACCCCAGCAAAAACTGAACGATTAACCTGAAATTGTAGCTCTGTGTCTGATATCACGCCTTGGAACGGGTACCAAGGGAGATAATTGCTGGGTAACTATTGTCAACATAAAGCTGTTCGTGTCTTCTTGACACTCAAGTCCCCAGTCTTTATACACAAGTCGAGGTGCCCGGATACGCGCATATGCGGTCGACATTTCCCTCCGGACCCTGTGTAGGAGACGGTAGTGTCTACCCCCCCACCAGTCTTCAGATATAGTGAATGTACGTCAAACCAAGTCATGTCCCACGCTGTGACCTTTTAACTTTGATTGCTCTGTATGAAAATTAAAAGAAGGAGGAAGTTCGGGGCATACACTTCTTAATAAAACAAAAAGTGATAAATTCAATATGTAATCTTTACCGTTGAACTATTGTTATATTGTTACTGCCGTGATAAGAAAACGATTTTTATTGCTTCTACTACTACTACTACTACTACTACTACTACTACTACTACTACTACTACTACTACTGCTACTGCTGCTGCTGCTGCTACTACTACTACTACTGCTGCTGCTGCTGCTGCTACTACTACTACTAGTGCTGCTGCTGCTGCTGCTACTGCTACTACTGCTACTACTACTACTACTGCTTCTACTACTACTACTACTGCTACTACTGCTGCTGCTACTGCTACTACTACTACTGCTACTGCTGCTGCTGCTGTTACTACTACTACTACTACTACTTCTACTACTACTTCTACCGCTGCTTCTGCCTGTGGTGGTGCTGCTACTGCTGCTGCTGCTGCTACTACTATTACTGTTGCTACTACTACTGCTGCTGTTACTACTACTACTACTACTACTACTACGTCGTCTACTACTACGTCTACTACTACTGCCACTACTACTGCTACTACCACCACTTCCACAACTCCTAGCATTCAAGCCATACACAACTGCATAGCGCAGCTACCAGTTGCTAATATTCTAACCCTATACAGCCGTTTGTGGCAGGTACCACAGCATGGTAGCACTGCAACCTTACATTCTTGATTGTCGAGGCTACTACAACGTCCTTCACACATGTCCCTCCGGTTACTGCAGTCACAGGTGTTAACAGTGCAACCATATATACCTGATTGTCGCGGCTAATACAGATTCACCAGTTAAGAGTGCAACCACATAAAGGTGATTGTCGCGGCTACTACAGATTCATCTGTTAATAGTGCAACCACATAAAGCTGATTGTTGCGGCTATTACAGACTCCGCTGTTACTAGTGCAACCACATAAAGCTGCTTGTCGCGGCTACTACAGACTCCGCTGTTACTAGTGCAACCACATAAAGCTGATTGTCGCGGCTACTACAGATTCACCAGTTAAGAGTGCAACCACATAAAGCTGATTGTCGCGGCCTCTACGGACTCTGCTGTTAACAGTGCAACCACATATTGCTGATTGTCGCGGCCACTACAGATTCTGCTGTTAACAGTGCAACCACATAAAGCTGATTGTCGCGGCCACTACAGATTCAGCTGTTAACAGTGCAACCACATAAAGGTGGATGTCGCGGCCACTACAGATTCTGCTGTTAAGAGTGCAACCACATAAAGCTGATTGTCGCGGCCACTACAGATTCAGCTGTTATCAGTGCAACCACATAAAGCTGATTGTCGCGGCTACTACAGATTCTGCTGTTAACAGTGCAACCACATAAAGCTGATTGTCGCGGCCACTACAGATTCAGCTGTTAACAGGGCCACTATATATACAAAAATGTTGCGGCTACTACAGATTCAGCTGTTACTAGTGCAACCACATAAAGCTGATTGTCGCGGCTACTACAGATTCAGCTGTTACTAGTGCAACCACATAAAGCTGATTGTCGCGGCTACTACAGATTCAGCTGTTACTAGTGCAACCACATAATGCTGATTGTCGCTGACTGTTTACAGCAACAAACGCTATTTGTCAACTTCAGCCTGATTTGCAGAAGTGATACACAGTTAGAGTGTCATGACTGAGAAAACAAACTCATAAAACAGAACCAAATACAAATCAATGGTTTCTTAATTCGTTTCTACACTCATTATCAAGACTACACCATGGAGATTGAGCCTAGCGGTATAGCGGGGTCGGATATGGGGCGGGTGTTGGGGTATATGATAATGAAATACTGTCTTACAAACTGGAACGCCGTGACGTCAAAACGGCGACCTCGGCCTCCCTTCCGGCGGAGGTCAGATCCAAGGAGGACATCAGTTACTCTGTAGTACAGATATATTGTAACTCATGCGAGCCTTCACGTAAACACTCTCACTCCCGACTGGCGATTAGGTACAGGCCGATCCACAAAGGCGTGGACCGTGGGAAATGATATTCCCTGTATCATTCACCGACGTGTTAGATAAGGGCTTCAAGTGACGCCTTCAGTGACACCAGACGGACCTTGTATGTTTGTCCAGGCTTTAGCAGAAGGTCGGTTAGATTGTTAATCAAAAGGTCTGACAGGTCGTCAACAGTGAAATTAGGTTCTGGTTTAGAGTCTACAAAGTTCTGGTTATTCATCCCGTGAAGATTCGGGTTAGAATTGGTCTTCAGCAACCCATGCTTGTCGTAAGAGGCGACTAACGGGATCGGGTGGTCAGGCTCGCTGACTTGGTTGACACATGTTATCATATCCCAATTGCTGTTGATGACTAGATTGTCTGTGATCAGTTATTTTACAGATAGCTGGACATAGCTTGAATATTGCTGAGTGCGGCGCAAAACAACAAACAAACCAATTTCATGCTTTCTATGACAGTGTTACAATGTGTGTGTGAGGGGGCTTGGCTTATTGGAAGTGATACAAGTCTCAGACGTTTACTATCTCCACGAACACGGGTATCGGTGACAGACCTAGACATTCGTGACCAACTCGTGTTATTCCGGGACAAGCCGAATAGCTTTGGAGGTTACGGAAAGGGGCGAGTGGTGACGAATGAGACCTAGAAAGGCATGAGCCGGGAATCAAGACTGCCTAGGGGACGCAACTCTTCTTGGCTGTTGCCATGAGCATATTCGTTAATTGTCCCTCAATTTTCACTACACCGGGGGTAATACTGTTTCTTTTGTGGAAGTGAACATGCAGCCATGCGTGTAACATACATCACGGTGGCCCTGGGTGCCGTTGTACAAAGCGATCTTAGCGCTAAGGTGACCGTAACTCCCATACCTTAACATAGACTTAAGATAGTCTTAGAGTTCAGGTTGTTTTGTACAAAGGCTCCCTGGTCATTAACTTGAGACCCATATAGTCTGTAATTCTTCGTAGTAGTGGTGTTCCGATTAACTGAAATAATCGAAGATTGGTCGCAGTGACCAAACGACCAAGCAATCGATCACATTTTCTCATAATCGAACATAAACGATTTTGGAAGTACTGTTTTAGTCTTTGAAATACTTGACAATGGAACATATCGTTGAAGTTGTCAGGGCCTGAAAACGGGTTTAATTCTTAGAAAACTCACTTCACTAACTGAAAAACCATGACTGAATATTTCTTGAAGACTCCGGGAAGTTTAGGTTAGTCATCACTTTAAAGTAGCAAGTTGCATCATGTTATACATATCTGCAATAACAACCTGGATAGGAAACTCTGAAAAATGACGCTGACCAATTTTTGTCGATGATTGTTCGTTGGTAATGAAGCAATCATCAATTGTGAGATTTCAACCAATTCCCAACACTACTGCGTAGGTAGTAGACGAAGAAGAGGTAGTAGGTAGTAGATTTCGCGGTTAACTTTTCATTTATATTATAAATCGTCTCTTAAAACGTATTTACTGAAGCAATTATCCCATTTACTTCTCTTCCCCTCTAATCTCTATCTCTCCCTTCTCCTCAGCGGACTTCAGCAGGGTTCTTTGACACTCAAGTGTTAAAAAATGAGACTTGACTGTCCTTCTAGTGAGTTCGATAGCCACTGGGTTTACCAAACTGGATATCGCCACCGACTTGCATCAATGCGATCTTGCTCCCAGCATTATATCGACACCGCGTTATCTGACAGAAAATACCGTTCAAAGTGGTGTTAAATCCCGCGGAGTCACTCATGTCAAGGGAACATTCGTCACCACTCGCCCCTTTCCGTAACCTCCAAGAAGATATTCGGCTTGTCCCGGAATAGTTGGTGACGAATGGCCAAGGGAACTGTGGCCGTTCCCAGCTTCAATGTAAGGGAAGTAACTCGTGATACCTTGGACACAGGCGCCGTTCCGAAACAACTGATTGAAAATGATCGTGTTAATAATTTGATATATTACTGATCTCATGATATAATTTATCAACTTTTCGAACCATTTATAACTTGGGATTAATAATCGATTCGGGGTTAAGCGTTGTAATGGTCAGTCTCAAGCTGACGTTATGTTCTGTCCCAAAGCCAAATGTACAGTTAGAAGTTTGTTTGAATCAGGGGAGACAACTCGTCCTACCCTAGCGTGTGTGTTAGTCACTTTGGCGAATAGAGAAGACTCGTTGTGAGGCAAAGTTCTCCTACACTGACAATCAATACATAACGCTCTGGAATGACGATATATTTACAGGATTGCTTTCACGAAAAAAGAAACGCGTTCCTCAGTTGCGCCATGGGTGATCAATTCTGCGTTCCACAGTCATAGGCGGATCCAGAAGGGGGTGTGGGGTGGGGTGTTTAAAGCCCATTGAAACTCTGGTGAAAATGAAGTGTGCACCCTCCCTTTTCTCAATAGTGTGTACCCCCTTTCTAAAAAAGCTGTATCCGCCCCTGCACAGTTGGTTAAACTGAAATCATTAAGTAAGAAACTGGAGCATTGGTGTACTTTATCAATACCTTCATCACACAGATGAAGATTGTTTACTGCTGTGGCATATGAACAGTTCCCACGATCAAGTTTTGAAATCTGTAGGATCTGGTGTGTGTAGATGGGGTACTTTATGAGCGTGAGTGAGTCTAGCGCAGCTTTGCTTAGGCGGATCCAGACGGGGGGTGCGCCCCTTCCCCCTCCCCCCCTCCTTTTGTCCTAAAAGAAGTTTATTAATAAGCTTTCAAACTCTCGTGATAACAGGTAAAAATGAGGTGTGTACCCACCTTTTCTCAAGTATGTGCACAAAACCCACCTCCCACCCCCTCCCCACCCCT